GACAGAGCGTCAGCCTGCGGACTGATGGGTCCCAGATTCAATTCCAGTCAAGGGCACATGTCCAGGTTGCAGGCTAGATCCTCAGTAGGAGGCATGCAGGAGGCAGCCAATCAATGATTCTCTCTCATCTTTGATGCTTTTGTCTATCTCTCCTTCTCCCTTCCTCTCTGAAATCAGTAAAAAAATATATTTTTTTTAAAATGAAGAAGTGCCAAAACCAGTTTGGCTCAGTGGATAGAGTGTCGGCCTGTGGACTCAAGGGTCCCAGGTTTAATTCTGGTCAAGAGCATGTACCTTGGTTGCAGGCACATCCCCAGTGGGGGGTGCGCAGGGGGCAGCTGATCGATGTTTCTCTCATCAGTGTTTCTATCCCTCTCCCTTCCTCTCTGTAAAAAGCCAATAAAATATATTTTTAAAAAAATTTTCAATCGTTGGCCTGTTGATACTTGGCTCTGTTGCTAATGAGTTTGCCGACCACTGGTCTAGGGGGACACTTCTGTAAATGGGGCGGGGGGGGGGGCCTTACCTCTCCCCAGTGGGGGCCTGGGGAGCGTGAAAAGGGCCTTCATGCTGGGCTAGTTAGTGTCTGCCAGTGCTGCCATCCCTCGGACACCCCCCTTCCTGCTGTTCAGTCTCTTTCCCAGGGCCGTCCACCAGCTTCCCAAACCCTCTCCGCCCAGGTCTCCATGGTGATGACAATGTCCCTGGGCAGGAACTGGAAACGATACCTTGGTTTTGAAATCCTGGGAGAGGGAGGGGAAGGAACAGCTGAGACGCCTGGAAGCCTGGCCACCTGGCTGGCTTTCCTGGTGTCAAAGGTGTGGGCAGCCTCAAGCTCAGGTGTGTCATTTTCTGCAACACAGGACGGGTCTGGGTGGCCACCTCTCTCCCCACTCCCCATCTCTCCTCTCTCTCTCCCTCTCTCTGCCTCCTCCCTTTTTTAGAGAGAGGAAGGGGGTGGAGAGGGATAGAAAGCTAGAAACATTGACCAGCTGCCTCTTGCACACCCCCTACTGGGGATGTGCCCGCAACCAAGGTACAAGCCCTTGACCAGAATCAAACCTGGGACCTTTCAGTCCACAGGCAGACGCTCTATCCACTGAGCCAAACCGGTTTCGGCTCCTTCTGCTATTTTTAAAAATGGATTGAGAGAGGGGGAGGGAGGGAGACACAGGACTTGCTGTTCCACTTCGGCATGCACTGTTTGACTCTGGTATGTGCCCCGACCGGGAGTGGGGGTGGGGGTGTCAAACCCACCACCGTGGTGCATTGGGACCGAACCCCTGCACGACCCGTCCAGGACTGCTGTTCTCTTTATCGCTGTGTATCTTCTGCCTTAATCTCCGTTGTGTATCCTTTGCTATTTTTACTGTTGTGTACCTTTGCTACTCTCTTTATTATTGTTTCCTTTGCGGTTATCTTTGTTGTTGTTCATCCTTGCCATTGTCTCTGTTATGGTGTCTCTTTTGTTATTGTATTTATTAGCTTTAAAAAAATATTAAGATGAGCCCTGAGACTGAGGTTGAGGGAAGCAATCTCTGTTTTCTGCTAAAAAAAAAAAAACAAAAACAAAAAACCCCAACAACAACAGAAAAAGTTGCTCAGTTGGTTAGAGCATCCCCCTTATCTGCCAAGATTGAGGGTTCGATCCCAGATCACGGCACAGACAAGCATCAACCAATGAAGAGATAAGCAAGTGGAACAATGGAGGTTTCTCTCGGTAAAATCAAGATTTTTTGTTTCTTTTTTTGTAAAATCAGTTAAAAAACGATTCAAAAATGAACAAACAAAAAAACAAAACAAAACAAAACAAAAAAACCTACCATTAAAAAAAAAATTAATGGCTGGTGTGGCTCAGTGTTTGAGCGTCAGCTTAGGAATCAGGAGGTCATGGTTCCATTCCCAGTCAGGTTGTGAGCTCAATCTCCAGTCGGGGGAGTACTGAAGGCAGCTGACCAATGATTTTTTTCTCATCACTGATGATGTTTCTCTTCCCCTCTTCCTCTTCCTTCCTCTCTGAAACCGATAAAAAATATTTTTTAAAATTTAAGATGATGCTGAAACCGGTTTGGCTCAGTGGATAGAGCGTCGGCCTGTCGACTGAAGGGTCCCAGGGTCGATTTCGGTCAAGGGCATGTACCTTGGTTGCGGCCACATCTCCAGTGGGGGGTGTGCAAGAGGCAGCTGATCGATGTTTCTAACTCTCTATTCCTCTCCCTTCCTCTCTGTAAAAAATCAATAAAATATATATTTAAAAAAAAAAATGTAAGGTGAAACTCGCACATAAAAAGAACCACTTCAGGTGAACAGTGCATTGGCATTTACTTTCTCAATGTAGACTTTATTAGTATATATACTAGAGGCCTGATGCACGAAGATTCATGCAAGAATGAGCCTTCCTTCCTCTGGCTGCCAGCACCACCTTTGCTCCCACTGGAGCTGCCTTTCCACCTTCCCATGGTGCCCAGGGGCCCAGAGCAGCGGGAGTGGTGCCAAACACCTCTGTCATTGCATGGCGACAACACAAGCATCCCGGCCTGCTCCCAGCCGTTCAGCACTTGCATATGTAAATTAACCCACCATCTTTGTTGGGCTAATTTGCATACTCGCTCCTGTTGGCTGGTGTGCATCATGAAGGTACAGTCAATTTGCATCTTACTTTTATTAGTGTAGATGCTATAACAGCTTGCATGTAGTTTGATGTGCAGCATTTTCTTCCCAGACCATCCTATTTAAAATAGCAGCTCCAGCTGTAGCTGGTTTGGCTCAGTAGATCAAGTGTTGGCCTGCAGACTGAAAAGTTCTGGGTTCAGTTTTGGTTTCTGGCTCAATCCCCAGTGTGGGGCTTGCAGGAGGCACTGCAGAGAAGCTGACCAATGCTTCTCTCTCATAATTGATGTTTCTGTCTTTTCCTTCCTCTCTGAATATATCTATATATAGATATAGATGATATTAGCAGCTCCATGCATTCCATCATAACTTTCTATCCTTCCACCCTGGTTTTTTTTTAAATTATTTTTTTAATCAGAGAGAAAGGGATAGAAACATCAGCATTGAGAGAATCATTGATCGGCTGCCTCCTGCATGCTCCCCACTGTGGATTGAGCCCACAACCTTGGCATGTGCCCTTGACCAGAATCGAACCCGGACCTTTCAGTCTGCAGGCCTATGCTCTATTCACCGAGACAAACTGGCTAGGGCCCACCCTTTTTTTTTTGTTTGTTTGTCTTTCTTGCCACCTGACTGTCTATTTCTTGATTCACCTTCTTTATCATGCAACTCCCCACAAAAAAATGTAAGCTTTACAAGAGCAGAGGTTTCTGTTTGTTTAATTCACCCGTGTCTACAAACATGCCTGGCTTCAGAGAGGCATTGACATGTAAATAAACAGACCGTATTTGCCGATACCCAGTGCCAGCACCGAATAGACATGTACAGAGAGAAACAGATGCAACACCTTTCGGACACTCGGCAGAAGGGTTGCTGTTGCCACCCAGGGTGACATTTTCTAGGGAATTGTGCCAATAATGGTGGAGAGTCATCAGTCCTTATCCTCAAAGCAGCGCTCTGAGGGAAGAGAAGGAACCCTGTCTCACGGGGGAGAAGAGGCAGTGAGTTCCAGGACTTGTTCAAAACAGGGACCCCAGCGGCCCAAGCATTCGACCCTTGTGCGCTGGGGTCATGGGCAAAGAGGAGACCCCAGCAGGGGGCACTCAATGAGGGTGTCCCTGGAGGAGACAGATGGACAGGATCTGTGATGGACAGTAGGGTTCGGGCATGGAGACTGCCCCCCTGGGGATACTGAACCCCGTCACTCTATATTCCAGCATGGGCTCGGGGATTGAGAGAGAGGGAATATTGCCAGGGGGTCAGATATTGACAGCATGTGGGAGGTAGGCAGGGATGGGACATTTGGGAGGTCCAGAACCATGTGAGAACAGACCATTAGGAGGGTCCAGTGTTAGCTGTGATGTCATTCAGAAGGGCATCACGCCAGAGATGGTGGGCAGGAGAGTTTGTTGTCGGAATGAAATGTCATGGGAGTCTCGAACCTTCTTGAGCACGAAACATAGAAGGATCTAATGGTAAGGAAAAGACCTTGTATGCATACATGCCTAACCCATGGACACAGACAATAGGATGGTGAAGGCCTGGGGCAGGAGGTGGGGGTGGGCTAGGGGGTTCATGAGGATGGGGGGAGGGAACCTAGGTAATACTTTCAACAATAATTATTTTTTACAAACACAGAAAAATCCTATGGAACCAAAGGCTAATATGCAAATCAGCCAAATGGTGGAACATCCGGTTGCTATGATGCACACTGACCACCAGAGGGCAGGCGCTCAATGCAGGAGCTGCCCCTGGTGGTTCGTGCATTCCCATAGGGGGAGTGCCACTCAGCCAGAAGCCGGGCTCCTGATTGGTGAGTGCATAGGCGATGGCAGGAGCCTCTCCCACCTCCGTGGTAGTTGGACATCCCAAGGGCTCCTGAACTGTAATAGGACACAGGCCAGGCTGAGGGACCCCACCCTGAGCGCACAGATTTCATACACCGGGCCTCTAGTATAAAATAAAACATTGGCAATAAGTACGTATCCAGAGGGGTGTGGGATATTTACAAGAATGGTGCATTCATGGGACATGGACCATCGCTGGGATGGGATGGAGGTACCTAAGGGTCCCACAGACAGAACTTTTGGATGGTGATCTGGGCTGAAGCAGAAACAGTTGGGAGACCCAGAACGAATCTTGGTTGGGACTCTCGGGGGGACTGGGGAGTCTCAGGGGTACAACGTCTGGTAGTACCGTGATGCCAACAGGGGCCGAGTGCTTTTGAGACACAGAATGTCATCTGGAGTGTGGCATTCTGGGAACACGGATCGCTGGGTCAAGTGCAACGCTCTGGCGGGGGCGGGGATGGGGTGAGGGGGAGACCTGGGCAAACTGTGGAAGGAGGGCTTGGAGGGCGTGCGGAGGAGGTGGGTCAGGCAACCCGACTTTTATTGTGGGCCCTTCGTCCACTCCTGCTCTCGGGGCCTCTGTCCTCGGATGGTTTCCTGGATCCACGAAATGTACTGAGAGACGCGGGTGTAGACGCCGGGCCGGTTGGGCTGCCCGCAGGGGAAGTCTCCCCAGGAGATGATCCCATGGAGCTTTCCGTTGCAGACCAGGGGGCCTCCTGAGTCGCCCTGAGTGGGGGAGACAGAAAAAAAGGGGGGGGTGTCCTTGCTGGGGCCTTGTGGGGCGAGAGTGAAAGATGGAGCAAGACAGACATGGAGGCAGAGAGAGACAGAGGGCTATGGGGAGACAGTGAGTAACAAAGACAGGGAGGAACAGATAGAAAGACAAACTCAAAAACAAAAATAGCCCTGACCGATTTGGCTCAGTAGATAGAGCCTTGGCCTGGGGACTCAAGGATCCCAGGTCCGATTCCGGTCAAGGGCATGTACCTTGGTTGTGGGCACATCCCCAGTAGGGGGTGTGCAGGAGGCAGCTGATGGATGTTTCTCTTTCATGGATGTTTCCAACTCTCTCTCCCTTCCTCTCTGTTAAAAAAAAACAAAAAAACAAAAAAACAATAAAATGTATTTTTTTTAAATTTAAAAACACAAAACAAACAAACAAAAACCCAAACACAAAACAGAACCCAAAACAAAGATAAACTCAGAGGGACAGAGAATGAGAGACAAGTCCCCCCGTCTCAGTGAGAGAGACGTTGAGACAGGGGGAGACTTCTGTGCGTCTCCGTTTTTGTTTTGTCTTGTTTTGTTCCTGTCTCATGAAAATGGTGCAAGCCCACACCCGCTCTTCTCTCCCTGCCATCGACTCTCACATTGCTTCCCCTGCCCCCCAAACCTGCTCCCGGTTCATGCCATCTTACTATTGAGCTAACCCAGTCACATCTGTGTTGGTTTGGGCACACATGTGCTGCTTCTCTTCCCCCGACCCTGGGTCCAGGACACATGTTAATACTATTGATAAGGCTCTCACCATTGATTCATTTTCACACCCTTTCCCACGGAACCAAACCTCCACTTAAGAAGCCTCCTCTAGGCTGGCCGGTGTGGCTTAGTGGGAGGTCATGCCCGGTCAGGGCACATGCTGAGTGAGGGGTTGCAGGCTCAGTCCCCAGTGTGGGGCCTGCAGGAGGCAACCGATCAATAACTTTTTCTCATCATTGATGTTTCTATCTCTCTTTCCCTTTCCTTTCCTCTCTGAAATCAATAATATATATATAAAATAAAAGCATAATATGCTAATTAGACCAGACATCCTTCCAGACAACCTATTGAATGAAGCTGCAAGGGAAGCCCAGGTCCCGGGTGCCAGAAGGAATCTGGTGTCGGCAGCCAGGGGAAAGAAGGCCTATTCTTGCACAAATTTTATGCATCGGGCCACTAGTCCTCCTATCTAAGAAAAGGGTAATATGCAAATTAACCATCACTTCATCACACAGATGGTGGTGCCCAGTTCTCTCAGCCCGCCAGAGTTCCCCACTCCCAGGGGAGTGGCTGCTGAGAAAAGGCAGTGTGAGCAGCCTGGCAGAATGCATGCTTCATCACCGAGGGGATGAGGCAAGCATTCTGCACCTGGCCGTGGATGGGCCTCTGGGCAACAGAGAGCCTCTGGGTAATGGGTGCAGAGCAACCAGGCCCCACAGAGAAATGCCGATGCACGGATTTGTGCACAGGGCTACTAGTCCCATCTAACAAAAAGAGTAATATGCAAATTGACCATCACTCCAACACACAAGATGGCTACTCCCATGTGGACACAAGGTGGCCACCAAAAGATGGCCAGCAGGGGAGGGCAGTTGAGAGGAACCAGGCCTGCAAGGGAGGGCAGTTAGGGGTGACCAGGCCTGCAGGGGAGGGCAGTTAGGGGCAATCCGGCTGGCAGGGGAGCAATTAGGTATCAATCAGGCTGGCAGGGGAGTGGTTAGGGGGTGATCAGGCTGGCAGGCAGGCGAGCAGTTGGGAGTCAGCAGTCCTGGATTGTGAGAAGAATGTCCTACTAGGATCGGGCCTAAACAGGCAGTCGGACATTCCTTGTGAGGTCCCAGATTGGAGAGTGTGTAGGCTGGGCTAAGGGACACACACCCCTGTGCACAAGTTTCATGTATTGGACTTCTAGGGACAATAGAGAAGAAGCCTCCTTTATTATACCCTAGCTGTCAGTTTTGCCCATGAAGTATCCATTTTACCTTATTTTGGTAACAGCTTTCTGATTTTATTTCCATGTGGGGAATGGCCCCCGCCCCCTAGCCCCTGTCCGTCCCAGTCCCCACAGGACTTGGTCCATCAGAGAATCCCACAGCTCGGGTCCGAGTGAAGGTTCTGGGACCCGTGACGTCAGTCAGTGCGCTGCTCAAGATGTTCCCATGGACCTCACCTCCATTACACGTGCCCCTGGATCGATCCGTGCCTGAACCAGGGACCTCGGGGCTTTCCAGCTTTAAAAGCCAGTGTTTGCTTATGGCAGTTTGAGTTGGGTTTGTTTGTTGCTTTTCTGTTTGTGGTGTTTTTTTTTGTTTTGTTTTTTTTGTCAATTGCAACCAAAAGAATCCTAACGTGTATGCATGTCAACATCAGAATCTGGCAGCCACTGGCAGCCACAGCTGGGGCTTACGATGAGTTCTATTTGCCATCCCACGGGTACTCCCTTTTGCCTTAACCTTTTACTCGAGGGGACGTCTCACCTTACACAGACTCGTTCCCCAAAGGCTAGAAGCAAATCCTTCCCCTGCAGCATCCGTCCCCACCTCCATTCTGGCTTGACACCCTGGCCCATGGCAGCCCCCCACCCCAGCCCCACGCGGCCTCACCTCACAGGAGTCCTTGCCGCCCTCGCGGGAGCCGGCACACACCATGTTGCGGGTGATCCTTCCCGGGTAGGCCTGCCGACACTCCTCATCTGAGCGCAGCTGGATGTTGGCACACTGTAAGGTTTGTGGGAAACTCACTGGGGAGGAGAGAGAGAAGGTCTGGGGATAGCTGTCTCGGACAGGCTGTGAGGCGGGAGTTCGATAGAACAGTTGGCAGAAAAGGGAGATGGGAAGAGGGAGATGGGGGAGAACGGGATGGGAGAGACAGAAACGTGGAGAGAAACTGGGGAGGGGTGTCACGGGAAAGGAAAGTGGAGGGAGAGATGGTCAGAGAACTGAGTGTGAAGAGACGCAGATGAAGAGGGAGAGGAGAGAGAGCTGATGCCTGAAGACAGAGAGAGTGGGGAGAACTAGGAAGACAGAGGAGGTGAGAGGGAATAGGGGATGGGGAAACCACAGGAGAAGTGGCAAGAATTACAGGAGAATAGGGAAGGGGTGGGAGAGAGATGGGGCATGCTGGGCGGAAAGACACAGAATTGAAGATGGGAGAGTGTAGGAATAGCTCAGGACTCTGCCACTGTAGATCAACTTTATAGTCACACATTATATATATATATATTATATACACACACACACACACACACACACACACACACACACATACACACACACACTAAGTGGCCAGATTATTATGCATTCAGAGATCATAATAATCTGGCCACTCAGTGTATATCCTATATAATAAAAGCCTAATATGCAAATTGTCCCCTTGACCAGCAGGCAGGCAGAACAACCACCCATGTCCCCTCCCCATAGCCAGGCTGGCCGAACCCCACCCATGCACAAATTCATGCACTGGGCCTCTAATATATATATACTGAGTGGCCAGATTATCATGCATTCAGAGATCATAACAATCTGGCCTCTCAGTGTGTGTGTGTGTATATATATATTTATAATACACACACACACACACACACACACACACACACACACACACACACCGTATTTTCCGGCGTATAAGACGACCCCCTAATTTTACAGTTAAGACATAGGTTTAGGCCTATATTTGCTGTATAAGACTACCCCCCACTTCAAAGAAAAGACTTTGCCGTCAAGATCTGCAGGTAATTTTTGTGCAATTTTGGTCTTTTGCCCCCGATTTTCGGTTGACTTTTTTTCGTTTCAAACGTCGTCTTATACGCCGGAAAATATGGTGTGTGTGTGTGTGTGTGTGTGTGTGTGTGTGTATTATATATATATATATATATATATATATATATATATATATATAATATACACACACATATATAACATTTATACACAAAGGATAAAGCAGTTTTCATTTTATTATATTTAATTACTATATACCTACCATAATATACAATTTACATACAAATATGTTTAAATAAATGCATAAATATAAAATTATATTTTGGAAACCTAAATTTTTATAATTTGCATATTTATATACAGATGTACGATGTATATTTTAATTTTAAAATGTTTTTGTTTTTTTAGAGAGAGAAAGGGAGAGGGAGAGATAGAAACATTGATGAGAAAAACATCAACATCAATCAGCTGCCTCCTGCATGTTCCCTATTGGGGATCCAGTCTGTAACCCTGGCATGTGCCCTGATTGGGAATTAAACCAGCAACCTCTTGGTACATGGACTGACGCTCAACTGCTGAGCCACTCCAGCCAGGCATATAATGTATATTTCTATAAATATGCACATAATATGTAGACTCTATGAAGTTGTATATATTTATAAATTTGTATAAAGACATATAACTGTATAGTATATGACTTATAACCGCATATAATTTTATAAATTTATATAAAGGATATCTGTAACATAACGTTATATATTTATAAATTTATATTTATGTAAAAGATATACATAACTTTATACGTTATCTGTAATACACATATGTAAGTGTATGTTCTTCTTGTTTCTTTAGAACCATATATATTTTTTTTAATTTTCATTTTTATATAAAAAGGAATCTCACTGTGGCCAGGTAGCTCAGTTGGTCAGAGCATCCTCCTGATTTGCCAAGGTTGTGGGTTCGATCTTCGGTCAGGGCACATACCAGAAGCAACCAACGAATGCATTCAACAAATGGGACAACAAAACCACAAAACCAATGTTTCTCTCTCTCCCTTCTTTCTCTCTAAAAAATCAACAACACTGAGACTGGTTTGGCTCAGTGGATAGAGTGTCGGCCTGAGGACTGAAAGGTCCCAAGTTCGATTCTGATAAAGGGCATGTACCTTGGTTGTGGGCACATCCCCAGTGGGGTGTGCAGGAGGCAGCTGATCTATGATTCTCTCTCATCGATGTTTCTAACTCTCTATCCCTCTCTCTTCCTCTCTATAAAAAAAAAAAATCAATAAAATATTTTTTAAAAAATAAAATAAAAATCAACAACAAATTTTTAAAAAAATGAATCCTCCTCCTGCGTCTGCCCCCGTCCCCCTCCCCCCCCCCCCGCCACCTGTGAGACCGCCTGTGTGGGTACATACCGCGGGGGCTGATGGTGGTGCCCCAGCCGGACACGCGGCAGCAGGTGCCTGCCGGGAGGCAGTCGCTGTGGGAGAGAGGCAGGACGCGGATGTGGCTGGAGAGACGGACGGGCGACTGCAGCTCCAGCAGCATGATGTCGTGGTCGTGGTTCAGGTGGGTGGGGCTTCTGTGGTACTGAGGGTGAGGGATGGAGCGGGCGACCTCCCGCACCTGCTCACCGGCCTCCGCGTGCCCCAGGGCGTGCTTGCCCAGGGAGACTTTGTATCCGCTGTGGGGACAGCAATAGGGTGCTTAGAGAAGATATGTCCCTCCCTAACCCCTTCCAGCTCCCCATCTTCTCCCCCATCAACTCCAATCCCATCTGAATCCTCTACGACTCAGTGTTTCCCAAACTTTGACCCCTTCTATATGTGTACCCCTTTTATAATTTTCGTAACGCTGAGTACCCCTCGTACACATGAGAACGTAGAATTAGGCGCAGCTAAGCACGGTGCAGTGCATATCCCCACCAAACTCTTCCCGTACCCCTGGGGGTACGCGTACCACACTTTGGGAAACACTGCCAAGGCCATTCCCGTCCCCAACCCCCTAACTCCACCCAAACCCCATTCTCACCCGCTCACCTCCAAACCGGAAAGGACTCCAACCTCATCCTCAAATGCAAACTCCACCCAGTCCCATTACCATCCCTCTCCCGTCCTCCCCGGCCTCCACGTACTCCTTCAGACAGTGTGCTGCAGTCAGGACCCATCGGGGGTGGACAAGGACCGCCCCGCAGAGCAGCCGCCCCTGAACCAGCAGGGCTGCCTGCCAGGGCTGAGAGTGGGGAGGGCAGGTGTAGCCGCCGGGGAGAAACCCATTGGTCCCGTTGGTGCTGTTGATGATCTTGGGGTACTCCTGAGAGAGGCCTGGGAGAGGAGAAAAGATGTCAGAGGACCTGGGTTCCGGCAGAGGAGGCCTGGAGGTGTAGTTCCCGAGTTTGGGGAGAGGGTCAGCATTAGCTCTTGGTGACCAGAAACAGATGAGTCATCTCTCAGACTCTGGGAGTTGCCATTTTTCGACGGAGCAGAGATGACTCGGGGCAAAGAGATGACAACGTCCTTTTCCACAGAAGTGTCATCTCCTCCATAGGACCAGGGGGGGGGAGGGGATAGGAGGAAGGAGGGTAGAAAAGTTCAAGGAATAAAGATGTTTCTGATAAGCTTTCTCCCCACTTGCATTTTCTCTCTCATTCCACCACGGGGATGGATTTCAAGAGGTAGAAGTGAGATGGACCTCCACAACCTAGGCAGCATCCATCCCTACCTCCATTCATCCATCCATCCACCCATCTATCCATCCATCCATCCATCCATCCATCCATCCATCCATCCAACCATTCATCTATCCATCCATCCATCAATTCCTTCATCCCTCCCTCCCTCCCTTCATCCATTTGTCCATCCCTTCATCCACCCATCCACCCATCCTTCCATCCATCCATCTCTCCCTCCCTCCCTCCATCCATCCCTCCACCATCCATCCAATCATTCGTCCACCCATCCCTTCCTCCCTCCATCCATCCATTCATCCATCCATCCATCCATTCATTCCTTCATTAATCTATCCATTTGTCCATTTGTCCATCCCTTCATCTATCTACCCATCTATCCATCCATCCATTCATCCATCCATCCATCCATTCATTCCTTCATTAATCTATCCATTTGTCCATTTGTCCATCCCTTCATCTATCTACCCATCTATCCATCCATGCATTTGCCCATCCATTCATTTGTCCACCTGTCCATCCCTTCATCTATCCACCCATCTCTCCATCCATGCATCTGTCCATCAATCTGTTCATCCATCTGTCCATCCATCCTTCCCTCCCTTCCTCCATCCATTCATTTGTCTATCTGTCCATCCATCTGCCCATCCATCCACCCCTATGTCCATCCATCTGTCCATCCACTCATCTGTCCATCCATTCCTTCACCCATCCACTCATCTGTCCATCCATGCATCCATGCATCTATCTTTTCAACATCTTATTTACTGGGTTCCTCTATGGCTTCAAATACCATCCATAGGCTAACTACTCCCCAGTTCAAAGTTTGCAGGATTCTGAATCATCTGACCTTTGTTAATCTCCTCGACCCCATCCCTCACCTCTCTCCTCTTCACTCGCTCTGTTCCAGTTTCGTAGATCTGTTCTCAAACTGACCAGGGCCTTGGCACTTGCTGCTTTTTCTTTCTCGACAATTCTTTCTCCAGGCCTGCACTGTTCAATATGGTAGCGCTAGCTGGCGTGGCTATTTAAATTTAGACTCCTCAAAACAAAACTTAAAAACTCAGTTCTTGCCCTGGCCAGTGTGGCTCAGTGGGGAAGTGGAGGCCCTGCACCAAGGGTGGCAGGTTCAATTCCCATCAAAGGCACACGCCTGGGACCTACAATAACGAAGATGGATGCCAGGACATGGGGAAGGGGACTGCGCAGGCACGGGTTAGAACCCGGACTCAGGGGTGCTGCTGTCTAGGGCTGGCCGCTCCTGTAGGAGGCTTGGGTTTTCCAGCTGCGAAACTGGAGTAATTATAGCTCAGGTCTCTCTTAAGGCTGTTGAGGATTCCACAAGCCAATGCATGTGGAGCTCTGATCCTAGGGCGTGGCCCCCAGGAGGGGCTGGGAGTGTTGCCAAAGGACACCAGGCACCCCACCTCAGGGCCACGCCTGGTGCCAGGTGCTCTTGGCCCCCTGCCTCCATTGGGACTCAGCTCCAGGGTCTAGTCCTTTGGGGGGTAGAGGGAGGAGGCTTCCAGACAGGGAGCTGCCATCCCTAGCCTCCTGGCTTGATCCTTAAAAGCCATCCCCTCCTGCACCAATTGCAGCTGGTGATTGACTAATCATGTAGGGAATTTGTTGGGATGAGGTCTGCAGCCGAAACCACGGGGGCTCTGGGGTCATCCCAAGGATGAGAGGAAGAACTGGGAGGATCTGAGAATGGACAGAGAACATGACTAATAAGGTCCTGGTGACCGCGATGACCAACCAACCAACCGACCGACCGACCGACCTTCCACCCCTTCTATCTGCCGGCTGTCAGCACAGACGGGCGCTAGCTACCTCATTTCATTTTAATATTTGCAGCAACCCTTGGGGGGCAAAAGTGCATTTGCAGTGAGGAGTGCTATGCAAAGCACGGTATTGCTGTTATGATCATTATTGATTATTACTTATTATTAATTAAGGATTGCATTCTTTCCCATGCGAACAACGGTAACCCTACGTTTGCCCAGCCCCGCCTGCCCCCATTTTACAGATGGAACGACCGAGGCACAAAAAAGCGAAATCACTTTGCTCCTAGGGGCAGCGTGAGGACTTGAACCCGTGTCTGGGAGGCCAGGAGGCCTGGAATGGGGGAGGGGATGGAGGAGCGGGGGGGGGGGGGGGGCTGCTAGGGACAGGAGGGAGACTGACCTCAGCCTGGAAACCAGGTCACTCCGGGATTAAGCAGGAAGTTTTTGAGGCCGTCCCCAGGGGACCCTGCCGGGAGTGGGAGGTGGGGGGCGGGGCTCAAGGCTTCCCCTCCCCCCATTGTCTGCGGCGGCCACCCCACCCCCGCCCCCGCCATTCTTACCGCTTGACGAGGTGAAGGCCGTGGTCAGGAAGGCGATCACACTGGCCAGGGGCCACATGGCAGCTCCTGGGGGGGCGGAGGGGGGCAGGGCGGGCCAAGCCTGAGAACTGGGAAGGCAGGTGTGAAAGGGCCGGCCCCAAACCCCCATCTCTGACCCCTGAGCTTCCCAGGTGCAAACCCGCCTGCCCTCTGGAGAACCCTGGCCCTCCTCCTGCTCCCCAAATTCATGGGGGGGGGGGGCGTGCACCCTAGGGCACTGGCTTTGCCAGACCTCGACCCCAGGTAGCCAGCCAGTCCCTCCACCCTGCCCTGCAAGCTGGGCCCTCGGTGCACGCTCCAGCCCCTCTCCTCCGGCCCCGGCCTCCCCTCCTCCTGGGGTTGGTTCCCACACCTGCTCTCACCCTGAGCTTATCTCCCTGCGCCTGCAGCTCCCGGCTCTGCAGATTCCTATCTGCACCAGAGCCTCAGGTCTCCCTCGCCACCTCCCTGACTCAGCTAGGCTCCCTTTATCCCCCCTCCATCCGCCCCCCCCCTCCAAGGCCCCAGCCCCTGCCCCAAGGCGCCCGCCCGCACCTTACCTGGGCGAGGGGCCCCAGGCGGAGAGAGCTTCTGCGGCCGCCAGCTGCCTCCAACTTCAGCCCCGACCCATGCCTTTTAACCCCTGACGCCCTCCCTCCCCCGGCGCCCTCAGCATTTCCCGGTCGCTGGCCTACCCCTCTCCACCCCCGATGGCTCAGCAGGCTGTGCCAGGCACCCCCCAGCCTGGGCTTGGCCTCACGCTTGGGGCGGAGCTTTCGGGACGGACTGGGACCCAGAGGTGGCTCCTCCCAAGGCCCAGCTGAACCCGCAGTGAACTCTGAGGAAGGCAGGACACCCACCTAGGCGGAAGGAGAAAGCCCATAGGACTTCCTTCCCCAAACCCACCCCAAATCCCCATGACCTTTCCCGGTAATACAGCTCACACTCGCGTGCCAACCTCCTGCTCCATCCCTGAGCATCCTATCAATAGACACCAGCAATCAGCAACCTCCCGCCCCCTCCTCCCCACAAGGCTATTTCCACCCTATTTCCATTCCCCGGCCTAATTCCAGCCCCTGGCCTATCCCTCAAAACCAGTGCCCTCCACTGCTTTATCTCAAGACATCACAGCACAACACATCTAAATGTCAGTCCTTGGCCTGGACGCTAGCCCAAACTCCATCTCCAGCCCTTTTTCTAAAAAAAAAAAAAAAAAAAAAACAGGGATGCCCAAGCATATTCTACCTACTGTCTGCCCTTCCCGCTCTCCCCACGCCCCCCCCCCAACCATGAGTCACAACAAGGGAATTAGTTCTTCAGGTGGGGTGATGGACAGTCAACTGTCCTTAAATGAGGATGGGAGCAGGGATGGGGCCCCGGAAAGCAATCTTTTGGGTAAGTGGCCTTTGGGGGAGCAGGGTCAGCTGGGGTGAGGGAGGCCATGGGTGTGGAGGCGGAGAGGGAAGAGGAAGGAGGAAGAGGCTGTGTGGGGGAATGAGTGGGAGTCTCCTGGAATTGTGACTGGGTAGGGCTGCACGTTAATCCTGGAGGGTGGAGGAGGCAGGATGAGGGATTAGGGTGGACCAAGGTGGGGCCAGAATTTGGAAGAAAGCCAGGGAATGGGGGCCTCCCCCGATGAAGTCTGGAGAGGGTGAGTGGTGTCAGGTGAGGGATCAGGGGTTGAGGCGGACGGAGGGAGTGTTAACATCAAAACTGGTGTGGCCATATCGGGGGATAGTTTAAATTTGGATCAAATTTAAATATAGGGACAAATCTAGTGTTAAAAAATATTTTTAAGTGTTTATTTATTGACTTTAGAGAGAGAAGGAAAGGAAGATGAGAGAGAGAGAGAGAGAGAGACATTGATTTGCTGTTCCACTTATTCACATGTGCTCTGACCAGGGGTTGAGCCCACAACATTGATGTAGAGTTCACAGTCCTCTGACCAACTGAGCTACCTGGCCAGGGCTTAAAATATAACATATATATATATATATATATATATATATATATATATATATCTTTATTAATTTCAGAGAGGGAGAGAGAGATCGAAACATCAATGATGAGAGGGACTCATTGATCAGCTGCCTCCTGCATGCCCCCTAATGAGGATCAAGCCCACAACCTGGGCATGTACCCTTGGCTGGAATCGAACCTGGGACCCTTCAGTTCGCAGGCCGATGCTCTATCCATTGATCCAAACCGGCTCGAGCTAAAATAGCATTTATTTATTTATTTATTTATTTATTTATTTATTTATTTATTTAAAAGATCAAACTACAACTCTCCTACATATATAAATTGAATGCATGTTTAATATTTTATTTTGGCTCATTCCTAAGCGATACAACCATCCAAAGAACCATAGGCCATAAGGCATGCTGAAGTGAACGTATACATAGACATAAGCTGTCTTATTCCACGTGATGGGGAGAAGGGAAATTGCACTTCCACCTGGTAAGGCTCATTTGCGTGGTTGTGGACAGGAGTGATTTGCATTGTGGTCAGCTGTCTTTCGCAGTCTTCCCATGCACCCAGGGAGAAGACTTTTCGGTCATGGTTAGGCTGGGTCTGATGACAGCATTGGGAATGCAAGTGGAATTTGGGGGAAAGAAAGGAGACGTGGTGAAGATGTGGCTGGAGTCAGTTTAGGGTTCACAGAGCCAAATATCAACAGGTCAACGATTGAAATGTTTTTGGAGAGCCAAAGTGTTTAAACCTACACTTCTTCTGACGCCCCTTCTTCAAAGTAGACTCTCCCAGGCCGTGGTGTTTTGTGGAAGAGCCACACTCACGGGGCCAAAGAGCCACAGTTTGCCAACCACGGGTTTAGGGCCATGGTCTGCAAACTGCGACTCATGAGCCACAGGCGGCTCTTTGGCCCCGTGAGTGTGGCTCTTCCACAAAACGCCAGGTGCGGGCGTGGCACGCATGTACGGTGCGGTTGAAACTTCGTGGCCCATTTCGCAGAAGTCGGTTTTCGGCTCTCAAAGAGACATTTCAATCGTTGTGCTGTTGATATTTGGTTCTGTGGACGAATGGAGTTTGCTGACCACTGGTGTAGGGGACAGGACTGAGTTGTGGTTGGGAGGTCTCTGGCCATAAGGCTGTGAATGGAGTCCCATTGGGTTTGGGACTGGGGTTGGGGCCACCCCGGAAGGTTTGGGTGGGGAGGTGTTGAAGATGCATTTGAGTTGGTGTTAGGTAGAGGTCATTGATTTGCTGGACAATGAGGGCTGAGGTTGAGCATCTGTGCTGAGGGAGGGTGTTGGTGTGCTGGTGTGGGGTGGGCCGGGCCGTGGCTGTGAACTCCTCTCCCCGGTGACTGAGAAAGCAATTGTCCTTCTGCCGCCTGGAATTCCCCCACTGCACAGGGCGGGAGCCCGCGTGGAGACCGTGTTGACTTTCCCAGCAGAGTCGGGTTCGGTCTGGGCGGCGAGAGGGAGGATGCCGGGTCACAGGAGGTGGCTGGGCCTGTGTGGGAAGCCAGGGTACCTGTGCCCTCT